TGTGTTACATTGGTCAAAGGTACCCAAAGGAAAGTGGGGAGGCACACCACTACTGCCCATGAGGACTCATCAGAATTCCATCAGGGTCCCAGCTTAGAAAGGTCTTGAGTGCAATTTAGCATTAGCATGAAGAATTGGGTAAGACAAAGAAAAAGGGAGTCTTTATGCATACAGGGGTGGCAGAGAGGGCAAAATGTTTTCACATGACAACATAGAGAACATTTGTAACTCTGTCAGAAGCAGAGATGGTGTCATAATATAAGAAGGTATAATCTCCATTGAAATAAGTGCCTCGTTTTATAAACATAAAAGTCCTTAAATCCATACAGGCATGGGGGCCATATAAAGGCCATGTCCCAAAGACAGTTCTGGCCTTTTTTTACTCGTCTTATGGGGTAATCATCAGTAGTTTTGGGTATAGTACTGTTCACAGATAGTGTAGCCTCACTGTCTTTTGGTGTCTGGATCCAAAGCACCAACTAAGCCTTTCCATATAGTGGACAGAGTACAAAATCGGGAAGAAAATGATTACTTAATAGGCATTTCAATCTTGGTGATCTATTCCCCCAAAATTAGACAAAAGGAATCAAATGGTTGTTGAATGCCTTCAGTTTAGATCTAAACAAAGAATTCTTAACAGAAGAATCTCAAATGGCTGAGAAACACTTAAGGAAATGTTCAATATACCTATCCATCAAGGGAATGTAAATGAAAATGACTCTGAAATTCCATATTACACCTGTCAGAATGCTTAAGATCAAAACCACAAATGACAGCTCATGCTGGGGATGATGTGGAGCAAGGGGAACACTCTTTCATTACTGGTGGGAGTGCAAATTTGTACAGTCACTTTGGAAATTAATATGGCAGTTTCTCAGAAAATTGGGAATTGATCTACCTCAAGACCCAGCTACACCACTCTTGGGCCTATACCCAAAGGATGTTCAATCATACTCAAGGACACTTGCTCAGCTATGTTCATAGCAGCTTTATTTGTAATAGCCAGAACCTGGAAACAACCTAGATGCTCCTCGATTGAAGAATTGGTAAGCTAAATGTCTTACATTGACACAATGAAGTATTACTCAGCTGTTAAAAACAATGACATCATGAAATGTGAAGGCAAATGGATGGACCTAAAAAAAAGCATCCCGAGTGAGGTAACCCAGACTCAGAAAGACAAATATGTTACATACTTATAAATGGGTATTAGTTGTAAAGTAAAGGATAACTATGGTAGAATTCACAGAGCCAAAGAGGCTAAGTAAAAAAGAGGGCTCAAAGTGGGATGCATGGAGCTCCCTTGGGAAGAAATATCCAGGATAGACTCAGGGTGGATGGGGATGGGTGCCTCAGGGATCAGGCTGGGAAGTGAATGGAGGGGGTGGTTACTGAAAGAGATGACTGGAAGTGAGGGTATTCTTGGGTCAGATAGAAATCTTATGCAAGAAAACTCACAGGAATCTACAAGGATGACTCCAGCTAAGACTCCTAGCAATAATGGATATATAGCCTGAACTAGCCATCTCCTGTGACCAGGCAAGTCTTCCAATGGAGGGACTGGGACACCAATCCCCACACAGAAACTTTTAACTATAGTCTGTCCTGCCTATGGAATGTGCAGGAGTAAATATAGTGTGAGATTGTGGGATTGGTCAGCGACTGACTGGTGGTCCAGTGTTAGACCCATGCCATGAGAGTGAGCCCACCCCTGACACTTTCTGGAGTGCAAGGACCAATAGGCTGGATTGCCTGGAGCCTTAGGATAGAACCAAACACGAATGAAGAAAAAAATATCAATGTAATGATGCCTAATGATATTCTGCTATACTCATGGATTAAAGACTACCCCAATTGTCATCAGAGAACCTTCATCTGGTAACTGATGGAAATAGATGCAGAGACCCAAGACAAAACATTAGGCCAAGCTTGGGAAATCCTGCTGAAGAGAGGGAGAAAGGAATGTATGAACCAGAAGGGTCAAGGACATTGCATACACACACACACACACACACACACACACACACACACACACACACACACACAGACACACAAAAGAAACCAAGCAAACAAAGGAGAAAAAAACAGAAACAACTAACCTGGGCCCATAGGAGCTCACAGAGCCTGAACCAAAAGCTAAGGAGCCTGTATGGGACTGACCTAGGCCCTTTTCATATGTGTGATTGTTGTGTAGCTTGTTCTACTTCTGGAACTCGTAAGAATGGGAGCAGGGGCTGTTCCTAACACTTTGGCTAGTGTTTGGGAACTTTTCCCCCGTATTGGGTAGCCTCATGCAGCCTTAAAACAAGGGTAGGTGCTTAGTCCTATTGCAACTTGGTATGGCGTGCTTTTTTGATACCCATGGGAGGCCTGCCCCTTTGTGAACAGAAACAGAAGGCAAGTGGATAGTGCAGGGAGGGCAGTTGGTAGAAGGGAATGGAAGGAGAAGAGAGAGGAGAAACTGTGGTCAAGATGTTAAATAAATAAATACATTTAATTTTAGAAAGAAGACTAACATGTTTCTACGTGTTCAAGAAATATAAACAAGGCAGGACAGTCTCATTATTGTTAGTCACTTTAGTGCATAACTGGTATTTCCATATTTTTAAATGACACCTTAACTACACAATTTGCTTTGGGTGTTGAAGTTCTTAGCTTGGAATAGACTAAAGACTACTATAAATTTCAAATAGTACTTAGTCACTTTGTTTCCTGCTCTGGGTTTTAAAGGAGAGTATTTGATGGCTCAGGGCTTTTCTTTTTGGTAATCTGTGCTTAGCTCTAGCCAACTCCCCATTCTTTTTGACTCATTGCGTGAGAGGGAAAAACTGAGTTTCTGAGTCATAAATCTGACTTCATATATCCTGACTGAAACCCAAGGACTTAAAACTAAAAGAAAACATGTGTATTCACAGTTTCCCTGACCTCATACTCCCAGGTCCCATGCAGACTGTGTACTGACAATGATATTTTTGTCCCCTTAAGTAATTTAACATTACACAGAAAATGCATGTAGATATTAAAATAGTTTTAGAACCTTGTTGATATTAAGAATATGTAATATGAAATTTTCCATGTCTCATGGAGGTTGAGCCCCTTTCACTTTGAATATTTGTGAATATATAAGAAATAAACACATTAAAATTATTAATAGTAGGTTGTATATTATGGAGAATGATATGCTGAGTCAACAGTTGGGGTGATCTACATCATGTCCAACTTAAAAGTATTTTTAGTCTCATCCCAAAGACTTGTATATAGATTATAAATAGATAAGGAAGAAACAGGTAGATGAGGAAAGAGTATGGGTCTGGAAATTCACTTCCCCTCATCTTTTCTTCTAGGCTGCTATCCATAGAGCTGTTTATTAAACAAAATAAAGGTATTAAAATACAGATACTTTTCTATGTGTGGAATATGTAATTAGGAATACCTATGTTTTAATTTCTTTTTTATTTAGAGAGAGAGAGACTCTGTGTGTGTGTGTGTGTGTGTGTGTGTGTGTGTGTGTGTGTGTGTGTGTGTGTGTGTGCTCCATGTGGCTTAGGAAGATGTCTGGAAACAACAATTTGAGGAAACCGGTTCTCTCCTTCTATAACGTGGGCTCCTGAAATCAACCTTGGGTAGTCGAGATTGATGGTAAATGTCTCATCATTTAACTAAAACTATTTAACTAAAAAGAACTGGATAAATAAAAATATTTTATTCACTGTGAAAAAAAAAAGGTCACTTAGGTTCACTGTGAACATATCTGTTGATCATGTAGGGGGAAAAAGCTTGAGTATGGTCTTTACAGGAAAATAAATAAATAGGGATAAAATCAAGCCTGTTCTTAAGTGAATTCGCTGCAAAATTCAGGCATATTTAATTCAGGAGATCTTGTTTTCACTCTGATGTTAGTAAATAATGGCTGAGCTACGCTTTGGACACAATCTAAAATCATGAGGCTTAGTTACGTAGCTTTTCTTCTCTCTTCCATGCAATCACATGTGAGCTCAGTCCCTTCCTGGACAGCTCACTTGATTTGCAGATCCATTTCTTGTTTAACTTTCATGTTCTATCTTTTGGAAAAGTAGTGGCCACAGGAATTGAAGAACAAGCATAAGCTCTCAATCTTGCTTTTAAGTGCTGTATCCTGGAGGAGAGATGCTTCTGTAATCCATGGTCCTCCAGACAGAGGAATTGTATTGCCCCAAGCTGTTTGTCTGGAGACTGAAAATGTGGAAAGCATTCTAAGGTCATCCCTCTATCTGCTCCTTGTCTTTGAGGAGTCCAGACACAGTCCCCAGCTTCCTCAAATCAACATATCAGCCTCTAAGCCAAGAACAGTTAAATGATGGGTCTACAGATTAAACAAGGCTAGATGCATGGAACAGTATCAAGAAGAGTGCTGCTCTGCAGATCTGCCAAGTCATAGTAAATGGGGCTAAAACGAAGTCTCACATCCTCCTCAGGTGAGGTTTCTGGATGCATCTCACTGCCACAGCACCTCATGCCATTTCCATAATGTGAATGGATTGAAAAGAGTGTCAGTCTAGAATGCAATTTCACTACATACTCTACTGTTTGTATCATTTCCCCAAAATTGTTATAAATGCTTATTAAAATTTTCACTCTGTATGTATTCTCCAACTTTGTCTTGGTTATTTGGTTCACTGTTTCATGGCATTTAAATTTATTTAAAGAAACATGTTTCCATTGTTGGAGAGAAGCAAGAAAATATCAATCTAGCAGCCTAGTCAAATAAGTAAGAGCAAAATTGTATGCCATCAAAACTAGTGATAGGAGATTAATATCAAAATATAGTATTAATTTCTCAAGAATTGTATTGTACTTCTATGAATAAAAATTCTTAGGAAAGTAAAAGAATAAACACCACTTGAAACAATGATATTGAAGATATATAAAAGGAAAGAGATCATTTTAAAAGTTAACATTAACTCTAACATTTGCATATACTGTTTGAGTTTCATCCCATTCAGCAATTAATCATGGCTTACCCAGTCCATATTCTTCATCATTTTCAATGCCTTGACTCATCAGGGTGGGTGAATTTGTCTCCGAGGGCCAATTCCCAGCAGCAGAACATCCAGGGCAGACTTCCTGTGCCATGGCTTTGTTACCAAGCCTTTTAAGGTAATCCTCAGCTTCTTGAGAGATTCATAGTATTTCCTCAAGACTCCAAGATCCTGTAAACCTATTACATTTGCATTATTTGAAAAGGAAAAGTCTATAAATTCATAGCTCTCCTCATAAACAGCCAATATTATTAGCCTTCTTTTGAATATTTGCCTTTAATTCAATAAATGAGCAAAATGTCTTAAAGTTTAAATCATTATGCTACATCCTTTGAAAATTAAAATGTTAGTATAGCACTTTATGTCTTTTTCTTTATTCACTCACATGTTTAAATTATGTATAAACAGTTGCAACTATAAAATTATATCAAAGCTAATGAAAAAATAGAAATGATATCAAAAGAAAAGGGAATTTTAATCTCATACTATCCTGATTTTAGCAGAATGCATAGGTTTTACACATTGGGTAGTCATTGGGACATCATAGAATGATGTAATGGTCCCTTCCCACAGGTACCAGTGATGCACCTTTACTCCTGGTCTGCTGGCAGTCAGGGAAAAGACAGCCTTTTCTTCACACACAATGGAAACATCATCTTAGTTTGATGACTAACCCAAGTTGGCCTCAGGTGATAGAGTCAGATACTCTACTTACGTCCTGATCTGAATTACTCCATGCTTGGATTCTGGAAACAAATGATTAGGGTGTCATCTCCCACTCCCCAGAAACTTCTTAATCTCGTAATATAGTCCTCAAGATTTTGGTGACATCAAAGTAGATTTTTGTGTCACCTCCCTATGTTAAATGAAAATTACATCACCAAATTTTTACCCTACTGTAACAGAACACAGAAATAGTGTTGGTGAGTGGAACCTAATTGTTGTAATTCATCTATTCATAGTTACTACTATGATAAAATTGCTGGTTCTTTATCACACCAATATGTATCAAACTAATATTTTACCTGTATTGCATCAGTATGTTCAATGTTCTTTCATTATCCTGCAGTCTTAGTTAGGGTTTCTCTTGCTGTGATAAACAGCATGGCTAAAAGCAAATTGGGGAGAAAGGCGTTTATTCAATTGTACAGTTTGTAGTCCATCATTCATGAAAGTCAGGGCAATAACTCAAGGCAAGAACTGAAATAGTTCATAGAGGAATGGTGCTTATTGACTTCCTCTCTTTGCCTTGTTTCATCTACTTTCTTATGCAACCTAGGATCACCTGTCTAGGGGTGTTATTGCCTGCAGAGATGTGGGCCTTCCCATTTCAATCATGAATCAAGAAAATACTACACAGGCTTTCCCACAGACCAGCCTTGTGCAGGCATGTCCTCAGTTGAGATTCCCTCTTGCCAAATGTCTCTAGCTTATGTCAAATTGGCAAAATAATAACCAACACACATTTGCACATTTATGTCAATAAGAATTATAAAAAGAATCAAACTCTGATTTAATTTAAAAATATCTGGTGCAATAAATGTTTTATAATTAAAATCAAATATACAACTATCTGGTAAAGAGAACAGTTTCTATAGCTGAAACAATATGACTTAGAAATATTATGATATGACTATGCCTTAGATTAATTAGAGTACCAGTTATATCCCTAATATAATAAGAAATGATACAAACAAAATTGAACAATTAATGAGGTTTAAAGATGGTTTTGTTTAGAAGGTTACAAGGTGGAATTTATAAGTTCTTTTCAGTAAAAAACAAAAACAAAAACAATGAGGTACTGTGCTATTTCTTAGGAACAGCAACAACAAAGAGGCTAGAGAGACAGTTGATAGTGACAATTATCAGAAACAAGAGACAAAGCAGCTATACAAATAGATCCCACCCCGCCCCCCAAAAAACACCTTTCACGTAAGTAATTCCCAGGAAAGTGTGGTATCACTTAGAGAGTGTCTAGCACTTTGCAGGTCATTTTCCCATGCAATGAAGAATATCATCTATGGTCAGTAATATGACTGAGTGGCTTCATAACAGCTTTGTCACCGCCCAGGTGCACATATTTTCCAGTTCCGTGTTCAGCAACTGTTGGTAACATGGAATTGTAAATGATCAAAAACATAATAACAAATCATTAATATTTTTAATAAAACATGATTTTTTCCCCAGAAATCTGGTTGTGAAATGCTACTAGGACAGTAGTAAGTCTGCCATGGTCTTGTTTTCCATCTGATTTCATCATGGCTTAATTTTTCTGAATCCTCCTTCTGGGTCATTCTATAATATCTTCTTTGTTAACATGTAGGATAAATTCGTTTAACAAGCTCACATCCTTTGAAGCTTGTGGAACAAAGGCTTTGTTAGGAGGAGTAAGAATAACAGCCCTCAGCACTTCCCATAGGTTGACAACTGAAATCTTAAGACATTTGGAGATGTCATTAGTGTCCTTTGTCCTCCAGAAATCATATCCCAAAGAAGCCAGCACATTCCCGATAAGAAAAACAGACTTCTCATGAAGTACTATTGTATTAGATATTTACCATTTATTGCTTTTCTGTCCTAAAGAATTTTAAATATCAATCCATTCATACAGGCAGCAATTGATTATCCAGGCGTGAACTGGGTGTGGACTTTTTACTGATGGTCCCATAGACTACGAAGAGAGGCAAGACTGGTACATAAATAATGAAGACAGAGTTTGGAGGCCAAGAGTGATGAGGACTATTTTAAGGATCACCATGGAGACAACATTAGAAAAAGTCTTCATAGTTGAAAAAATTATAAGGAGTTATGTGTAGGACTGGAGTATAGATACTTAAAAGAATGGCAAACAAACTTTAAGTTGGGATATAGGGTTTATAGAGAAGTATAAGAGGAGGAACTAAAACTAGAAAGAGGAAACACATGTAGATGCAGGCAATGGTGGGTCTTGAATACTTAAAACAGGAACCAATTAAATGTTTTCATCAACACTATAAATGGACCAGGAGTAATCATTTAAGACATTAAATTTGGTGAGGACAATGATTTTTAAGAGAGGAAACCACATTAATAAATGGAAGATGACTGAATGGATATTAAAAGTCTAACAAGATAAAAATGGTAAGATTTCAAGCTATATTAAGCACAGTTCAGATATATATATATATATATATATATATATATATATATATATATATATATATATATATATATATATATATGTAGGGTGTTTTGAATGAGAAATGTTCCTCACAGGCTTTTGTATTTGAAGATTTTGTCTATTAGTAGGTGGTGCTGTTTGGGGAGATTCAGGAACCCTTAGAACATGAAATCATGATGGATGAAAACATCACCATGATGGGCTTTGACAACTTAAAATCTTCCTCACTACCAGTTCTCTCTCTGCTTCCTGTGTGCATTTTGCTATGCTAACTCTCAGCCTCCTGCCTGTACTGTCATGCTTCACCTACTATTATGGGTGTTTCCTCTAGAAACTTTAAGGAAAAATAAGCTCTTTTCATTAAGATACCTCTGGTCATGGTGTTTTTTTCACAATAGAAAAGTAAGTTACACAATAGTTGTCTAGCTAGTTACAGTGATTAACATTTATTTATCATTTACTAGGTAAAAAAATTCTGATAAGAAGTTACAACAAGCTTATGGGGTAATATGGAAGAATAAAGTTGGTCATTCTGCTCAGAGGCAGAAAATACTCAAACTGTCTTTGATACAAAAGTGAGGTGGCTACTGGGATAATTATTGTCCTTTATGTAAGAAGTTTCAAATTCATTGAAAAAAATTGCAGAAAGAAAAAGGGAAAGAGAAAAACAAACTATTTATAAACTGATAAATTTTCTAAACAAACATAGTATTGAAATGAGTCCTGATGACCTATTGTTATACTCATAGATCACAGCATCTCTTATCCATCATCAGAGAAACTTCTTCTTCTAGTAGATGGCAATTAACAGAGGGACCTTGCAAAAGTGGTCAATGTGCAGAGAAAAAGAGACTGTGATATTTTCAACCCTAAATATGACATATATATCATATCCCTCATGGCCACTCAAGGGAATGGAAAGGTTCTAAAAGCCATAGGTGGTCAATAACATCAAGGAAAGTGTTTTCCACACCGAGCGAGGCAGTTGCACATATGAATTTATAGTTGCTGTGACAATTTGTACAAGATCTATGCACACTTTTTTCATACAAATTTCAGCACACAGGGGAAGATGGGCATGAAATTCCACCACCAGATGAGAAGATACTACTTTTATTAGCTCCTGGGATAAGGAGACTCCATTTTCTTTAACAGTGTAACCCCTGGTAAGTCATCCATACCCCAGTGAAGTGTCTATCTACTCCAAAGAGCAGCTCTGCAGTTCTCCATGAGAAAGAAACAGACAAACAAAAAAGAAGAAATCTCAAAGTTAGGTAGAATGGGATGGACAGGCGGAAAGCATGTGCATGGGAGGAGTTGGGAGGCCATGAATATGATCAAAATACAATGCATGAGATTCTCAGAGAACTGATAAGGCTAGTGCTTAAACAACAAAACCCTCAGCCTTATCTCCTCTGTAGAAAAACAAACAACAAAAATAATAGTTTGTGAAGTGAACAAACAAATGATCTTTACAGAAAAAGTTTAAGCTTACAATAGGTTAAGCTTAAGAAAGCACTATTAATAGGACTGAGGAGATGGCTCTGTTAGTGAGAAAGAAAGCCAAGTACTGCAGCTGTGCACAGTCCTATGTGGAGAAGGCAGAAAAGGAAACAACCCTGGATCTCTCTGGTCAGCCAATCTTGCTGAGTAAGCAAGCTCTAAGTTTAGTGAGAGACCCTGCTCAAAAAATTCAGGTAGAGAGCAACTGAGGAAGACACACACAGCATTAATGTCAGGTCGCCATATATGCATTGATTACATGAATACATATACACATGTACACATATGGAAAAAATTCCTAGTTTTTGGAGTTCATAGAAATGATGGCTTCTTAAGCAAAATGATTTGATGTGATAAATGAGCTTGAGCTTTATCACCTTTACAAGGATTGTCAAGAATGACAAAGAATAGAGCAGTAGCTTATAACAAAGAACGGGACATCCTTTCAGCACTTGTTAGGCTGAGGCAGGAGAATTACCAGAAGTGTCTGGCCATCCTGGACTATGCTGTGAGTTCCAAGCCAGCCTGAGCTATAGAGTAAACCCTGTCTCAACAAAATAAATTAAAAACACTAACAACAACAAAAAATAAATAAGAATAGTATGTGTGTTCTAATTCACTTTCTAATTAGTTATGTGTACAAAGCAATTTAGAATGAAATGTATGAATAAAATTTATGCTGAGTTTGATTTTTACCTGTAGACAGGAAACTATACTGTCTATTGCTTCATTGTCCTATCTGATTGTGATTTATCACATCCTCTTAATAACAACTAATTTGAATCTTAAGGAAAGATATCTTCATGTATAATATATTCTTTTTTGTATATGCCTGTTATGTCTGTCCCATGAGTGGTATCCTTATTTCCATTTAATAGGTTAAAATATCCTGAAATCTAATAGGTTAAATAATTTATTTAAGTTTGTACAACAAAGAGAGGAATCATAACTTTAGATTTTGTTGAGTTATCTTTTACTTATGAATGTCACACCAATGAGGACATCAGCCCAATGAAGTTAGGAATAGGAACTGTTGTTCAGTACATAGATATTAACTGGCCCAGCAGCTACTGACTATTTAAATAAATGGGGCCTGGAAGGAAGACCTGGAGTCACTTTTCTCAGTGACTGGACTCCACTGATTGCCAAGAGTCACTCAACTATACTATGATGAGGAGCAAGGATGAGGCCGTTAGGTAAGAGCAAACTAGTAGGATAGTACACATGAAAACACAAATAAGTATAATTGAGGTGACATTATAATATATGTTGACTCATGGGTTCACACTGTTTGCTGTATTGGCTCATTGTCCAATTATGTAAACATTCAGACGAAGTTGTTTCTTCTTTCAAAGAAAGAATCTGTAATTTAGTGCACATCTTCCTGCACATGTACATGGGAGGTGGCCTGAGTTTGTAAGTTAATATTTTATGTTTGTATCCAGTGTCCAAGCT